TTTTTTTTTTTTTTAGCCAGTTAGTATGGTTTGAATGTGTTCCCCAAAATTCAGACATTGGAAACTTAATCCTTAATGCAATGGTGTTGAAATGTGGGACCTTTAGAGGTGATTAGGTCATGAGGAACAGTTCTGCCCTCATGAATGGATTAATGTCATTATGGGGGTAGATGGGTTTGTTATTGTGGGAGTGGGGTTTTTATAAAGGATGAGTTTGGCCCCTTCTTTCTCACTCTCACCCATGTGATGCCTTCCACCATGTTATGACACAGCAAGAAGGCCCTCACCAGATGTCGCCTCTTGAACTTGGACTTCCCAGCCTTCAGAAGTGTGAGGCAAATAAATTGTCATTCATTATAAATTACTCAGTCTGTGATATTTTGCTATAGCAGCAGAAAACAGATTGAGACAGTCATTTAAAAATTTTTTGGTATTGGATCACAAGGAAACTGGTTTGTTCTTTTCAGAATTTTTGCCATTTATGGTTAGATTATCAACATGGAATGCATTTTTTCATTACCGAAGGCACAGATGGTTCTGAAGTATCATTTGGCTTTGCAAAAGATTCAGTTGAGGAGTTCAGTAGTTGCAGTGGTGTAAGTGACAACAGTATATACTCAATGTCAGCAAAGCTAAGCCATGTTCCAAGTTAATTGCTCTTTTATCTGAACATAAATAAGAAATATTCCTGTCAGTGACAGTAACATTAAGGTTAATGAAAGATTTTTAGGTTTTTGATTAAAACAGTACGAATGTGGTCTTTTAAAATAATTTTCATACACTGCTTTTGTGTGGTACTTGTCTCTGGCATGGTTGTTAGTTCTTGATTCAGGCTTTTCTAACTTTTAGGGTTCAGTAGATGAAATTTTGACATTTTGTTCAGCCTAAATTTTTTGGTTACTACCTGGAATATTGCAATATAATAAGAAATATGTATTTATTTTTCTCCAGTTCCTGAACAAGAGCTTCTAAAACCTTTGGACTTTCCTGAGTGATAGGGGTGAGATAAGTGTCTTTTATTATCCACCATATGAGTTTACGCTAATGAGGTGACTCTAGGAGAGCCCCTAGATAACTTCAGGATGGGGGCTGGCCGCCAGAGGAACAAACCATGTGACTTAGAGAGTTGGAACTTTGAGCCCCATTCCTGGATCTCTGAGGCGGGGAAGGGGGTAGGGGCTGGAGATTGAGTTAATCACTAATCACGTGAGATAAGTGTCTTTTATTATCCACCATATGAGTTTACGCTAATGAGGTGACTCTAGGAGGGCCCCTAGATAACTTCAGGATGGGGGCTGGTCGCCAGAGGAACAAACCATGTGACTTAGGGAGTTGGAACTTTGAGCCCCATTCCTGGATCTCTGAGGCGGGGAAGGGGGTAGGGGCTGGAGATTGAGTTAATCACTAATCACTGATGATTTAATCAGTCATGCCTATGTAATGGTATCTCCATAAAAACTCTTAAACAACAAAGCTTGCAGACCTTCCAGGTTGGTGAACATGTTGAGGTTCTGGGAGGATAGCAGAGAGGGCATGGGAGCTCTGTGCACTCCCCTCCCTCATACATTGTTATTAGGGATAAAAAAACAAACTCTTTTTTCCCTTCACTCACACATCACTCAAGAATACGTCACACCAGATGTGTGGGGATTTCTCCCCACACACCAAGCAATTCTCCATCATACACCAACTGGATGTCCTCTAATTCAACTCAATTCTGACACTGTCTACATGGAGGTAACATCAGATTCCACAGGTTGAGGGCTCAGTTCTGCAAGACTGCCCCCTCCTCCCCTTCAGATGCCAGTTGCAAATAGGTTGTCACCTGTACTTTTGACCTAGTGGCTATAAATCAAGGATTCCCACGATTTCCTCTTTGGGTTTGATTAACTTGCTAGAGTGGCTCACAGAACTCAGGGAAACGCTTCACTTAGTTTACCCATTTATTATAAACGATATTACACAGGATACTGTCAAAAGACAAAATTACAATAAGTTTAGTTGAAAGATCTCAATTGGCTTTATTTGCAATTCTAGAATTGGGTGACACTTCATTCCATAAAATAGAATAAGTATTCCAATGAGTTGAGCTCAGGAGATTGGCTTTATAGACAGAAAAAGGGCTGAAGAAGGTAGAAGTGCCAAAGCAGTTTTGAAGAATGGGGTGTTTTATAGTTTGTCAAGGTTTTAATGATCTATTTAGGGAAACTACATAGCATAAAATTTTAGAAATTTGTATGAATTATTTTTTTAGATATCCACAAATGTACTGGTCAAAATGTTTAGTCCTGTATTTTTATAAATATATCTTTACTTTAAGTATTTAATTTAGGAGTAAAAACTTACTGTGAAAGATATATATAATACAAAGTCCGCCTGTCTGTAGTATCCTGTTCTGGAAGTTCAATTAGAAACAAGCTTGAAATATTCAGTAAAAACAAGGGATTTGATGTTTGATTGTAAATGTGGCAAATGAGAATAATTACTTGGTTTTAAGTGCTTTAAAGTATCCTCTGCTTCTTTTGATGGCAGTAGGTGACTCACCTCTCTCACATCTCCTTCATAGCTCAAGTATAAGGAAATGACTACATAGGTAGTTGTGGGAGTTGCCTTGGCCTAAGAGCCCCTTGCTTCATAAAACTACAAATTCTCCCATGGGCATAGCTTCCAAGTCCCAGCAAAAGGAATACCTGGTTATAGGTTACCCCACACTCAAGGGAAGCTTACATGTTTCCCATCAGCTATTTATCATTTTGTTCATAGTTCTTTTACTCTAGATGATGTCTTCCTATAAAAAGCATTTTTTTTTAACCATAGCAGTGTTTCTGATAATAGCTGATATTCCATCTTTATAGGATTTCCAGGGAAAGAGAAGGTGAACCCAAGGTCACCTGTAGGAGGAGAAAAGTTGTTAACCCTTTACTTGCTGTCTTTTCTAGAGTATTTGGATTTATAATTTTTTTTCTGTAGTTGGAGTGTTCAATCTTTATTTTGAAATAATTTCAAGCTTACAGAGAAGTTAAATAGTACAGAGAACTTACTATATACCTTACATTCAGATTCACAAATTGTTAATATTTTCTACATTCATTTTATTCTCTCCCTGAATCATTTAGAGTATTAGTTACAGGTATCATATCTCTTTACTTCTAATACTTGAGTGTAAATTTCCTAAGAATAGGACATTCATTTATATAACCACCTTATAATTATCAAAATCAAGAAATATACATGGACGTAATACTGTGACCTAATCTACAAATCTTACTAAGATTTCGCCAATGGTCACAATAATGTCCTTTATAGCTTTTTTATTCCTGGTCCAGGATTCAGTCCAGGATCACATATTACATTTAGTTTCCATGTCTCTTTAATCTCCTCTACTCTTCCATTCTTTCATGACATTAACAGTTTTGAAGAATGTAGGCCATTTATTAGGTAGAATGTTCCTCATGTCTTCTTATAATTAGATTCATCTTGTCCATTTTAGCAAATTATAAATACCACAGGAGTTTGTCACATTTGGATGGAGATAGTGTTGCTTTATCCCATTATTTTGAAGTTAATGTAGATCATTTGGCTTAAGTTGTACCCACCAGATTTCTCCACGATAAATTACTATTTTCCCCTTTGTAATGAATAAGTCATTTGTTGGGGTGATACTTTGAGACAATGAAAGCATCTTTTTCCTAATCAAACTTTCTACTACTAGTTTTAGCATCCGTTGATCACTCTTGCTTAAATCTAAAGACTTATATCTATCCAGCCAACTGATTATTTTTCTTTTTCATAGATCAGTCACTTTAAGTTTGACTTGCTGGGAAATTATTTCCAGTGTTTTACCATTCTGAACTACCAGCCAATAATAACAAGAGTCCATTAGACTATATAATTTGCAGCTCACTGATTTATCATGATTCTTAGTTTGATACTTATAAAATGTAGGGAATCAAAGCTTTTAAAAATATTTTTCCTTCTTTAGGTGTTTACTACAATCTGGAGGCAAGATCTTTCCTCAGTATGTGCTGATGTTTGGATTGCTTGTGGAATCACAGACACTGGTAGAAGAGAGTGCTGTTCAAGGAACAGAATGTACTCTTGGATTAAATATAGCACCTTTCATTAACCAGTTTCAGGTAAGTGTCCAGGAAAGAAGTTTAACCAGGATGCCGTTATCCATAGTCTAGCCTGTCTACCTCTTTAGTTTTATTTAGTCACTGTGTTTAGCTGAATTAGAATGGTAATCACTTTCCTAGAGCAAAAGAACTTATTATTGGTAAAGTTTGACCTAGGGATTAGAATAATCAAGGAATTTTGTCACGACTACTGAAAAAAGTTTATAGACATTCCTCTTAATCAATGTTATAAATTAAAAGTAGAGTCCTAGGTTTTAGTCTTATGAAAAAGGGTGCTCCTTGTCTAAAAAAGAAGCATCCGTAAGATTTATGTTCCAAACTTGAACGTTACATTGAGACCTCAGGCTGGCAGCTTAATAGGTGTGAGCAGCTAATGTCCAGAGTCTAGGCAATCAGGCTGCAGGGAGCAGGAATGTAGGAACCTAGGAAAACTAAAATCAAGGCAGAGGGGTTAGTTTCCGTTTAAGAAACAAGGAATCTAGATTTAGAAATGAGGGTGAAACTGGCATGGGCACTAGCAGCAAAGTACAAATTTGTCAGTTAATATAGTGGAGTGGATGGAATATCTAGTGAAGAAGTTTGGGGTTGGATATAGGGGTGGGAAGTAGGTGGGATATTGCCGTATAAGCCAAAGCAGAATTTTGGGAAGTGAGATGTTGAGTATAGAATTAAAGAAGTAATATCTAAAGTTTTTATCTAAAGGCTATAGATAGGCTCTTGAATTTGCATTGTCAGGTCATGCATTAACAATACCTGCTTATGGGCTGGCCCGGTGGCGCACTGCTACAGTGCGCCGCTTGGGAGTGCGGTGGCGCTCCCGCCGAGGGTTCGGATCCCACATACAGACCGGTTCCCGCTCACTGGCTGAGCGAGGTGTGGGCGCAGCACCGAGGGTTGCGATCCCGTTGCCGGTCCCAGTCCGGTACGGGCGCAACACTGAGGGTTGCGATCCATTGCCGGACACGAAAAAAGACAAAAAGGGAAAAAAAAAACAATACCTGCTTAACAAATATGAAGGTACTTCAAAAAGTTCGTGGAAAGATTTGTATTATCTTTTATTCTATTTTTCCATCTCCCGCCAAGGGTTCGGATCCTACATACAGACCGGTTCCTGCTCACTGGCTGAGCGAGGTGTGGGCGCAGCACCGAGGGTTGCGATCCCGTTGCCGGTCCCAGTCCGGTACGGGCGCAACACTGAGGGTTGCGATCCATTGCCGGACACGAAAAAAGACAAAAAGGAAAAAAAAAAACAATACCTGCTTAACAAATATGAAGGTACTTCAAAAAGTTCGTGGAAAGATTTGTATTATCTTTTATTCTATTTTTCCACGAACTTTTTGAAGTACTCTCATATAAATTAGTTGAGGAACTGCTTTTTCCAGGGTTCTGGC